GGGTAAAGTACTACTGGGTTTTTAAAAAATTCTCAGTGGTAGCACGGAGTCTGGAATTGTGCCCGGTATATAGCAATTTTAAAAACCCGGTAATACTTTGCCCGAAACGGGAATCGGGAATTTTAAATTAATTAAAATAATATTCATACAGGTCAAACTCATTTGATCACGTTTTAGTCGAATCGTTAAATCGATATTTAATTGATTTATGACCGTGATTATTGGTCATCAAAGATTAAATTGCCTCCATTATTTATTTATGCACTTAACACGTAGTAACACGAGACAATATGGCACAAAAAGCCACCTTAGGTCATTTAAAAGAAATTAATTGTTATTAGAACAAACAAGATTCACATGTAGGTACCTATGTGTTATTCCCCGTAGGATATATATAACCAGTTTTTATAACCGCAATTTTATCTCTTTTGATACCTACCATATATATCATGCCTCATACGGTTGGTGCAGTGGTTGCGTGACGGGCCGCTGTGTAATGTATCGGAGTTTCGATTCCCACACCGGCCAAAAAATGCCATAATCACTTATTGTAATCACTTATGGCATTTTCTGAGTAAAATGTCCCGTGCCTCGGAAAGCAAAGCCGTTGGTCCTGATATCTCTACGGTCGCGTCGGTCTGTCGTCCCATCGCGTATAGAGAGTGAGGCAATAGAGAGTGCACTTGTGGTTGCCCACACACTTGTGCACTATAATATCTCCTGCGTAGTGGGCTAGTCTAGTTAGACTGGCCACCATGATCGAAATCGAGATATGGAGATTTATTATAAGAGAGAGTTAACCTGTCGATTCCTAAACTTTGTACTTACTGACAAAAAATCCTAATATTTTCACACACACACACACCACACACACCACACACACCACACACACATACATATACGTAACTATCTATAGTCATCATATTACATTTAAGTATATATTTATTACATAGTACTGCCCATTTTTATCTTTTATGTATTATATGTAGTCTGTAGGTTTCATTGATAGTTGAATTTGTTTTTATTGTTTTTCTACTATTTTGGTTTTTTTTTATTGTGCATCTACCACTCATTACCAGATTCTTTTCAAAAATTCCATCCTAAGGTTGTCTGGAAGAAATCGCCGCGTGTGATAAGACCGCCCATTGTACTCAAATTACTATTGCAATGTTTACCATTTTTTTTTTTTTGTGTGCAATAAAGTATAAATAAATAAATTAATATTTTAACCGACATGGGACCTATTTCTCGTTTGTCACATTTACAACCACACAGTCAATAAGGTGATATTGTAAAGACCCATAGAATACATAAATATTGAGTTCGATCGTCTTATTCCCCCTTTGTATCAGCGGGGGAGAGATTAGTTACCTGCCAATTTCACGTTACATGTTCCTACGGCAATATTCCCCTAAGGGAACAACCCCCTAAATATAGGAGGCACTATCATAAACTCACAATTTACGTTGTAGTGAAAAGGAAAAACTACTTTTATAGGGGATAAATCGACAGGAAAACATAAGTTTCGATAACAAATTTCCTTCTTGTTGAAAGTCTGAATATATTTTTAAAAAAGGTTAACACTGCTTTTGGTAGGTATGTTAACTAAAACAGTAAAACGTCATTCATTTAAACTTTAACCCCTCGAGCGTCCTTATGAGCACCCGGTGGATCATAAGAAAAAATGCTCCATGCTGCTTTCTCTTTTATAAAATCTATTATTAATGTTTTGTTTTTATTTTGACTGTATTTTTTATTTCTATTGTAATGATCCTTGTTTTCGTGTGCCAATGGCCTTTTCATTTCTTTTTCTTTCTTACTTTCTCCAAATGTCACGTGTGCACCCGTTGGATCATAAGGAACGCGGACGCTCGACGGGTTAACGCACATTCTTTCAGGAATAGATTTGTTACTATATTTCATACACAATATATTGAAACGTTATTATGTTTCATAAACAACATAGAAACACGTGTCTATGTTTTTTATACAGATTCATGTCGAATACAGCATATTATTATTATTAATCACCAAGACAGACAAAAACTTGACTGTTCACCAGAATCATGGTATTTATCCTTTCAAAATAACCTAAATTATTGTGTAAACGATCTTAAATAAACATAATTATTTTAATTTTAGGTACTGTTTTGATACTAGACCAAAATTAAATAATTGTACTATAATTTCGTCTCTAATCATTATGAAGCAAGGATCTAAAGTGCAACACTTGACATCCGTTGTAGATACAGTCTGTTGTGATAATAAATCTTAATATTATAAACCTTGTATCAATAGACAGAAAGAAGAATGAAAAATCATTTATTCAGCACCAGGCACGATGGCAGCATAAATAAAATATAAAAAAGACAATAAAAGTGAAACAGAATAAATAGAAGAGAGACGCTGACAACATGCCTATGCTAAAATTACCCTCCCCTTCCCCAATTTCCCCAATCCCTGAATCCCCAACGATACTCAATCTCCTCTAATTCCCAAAAAGCCGGTAACGCACTTGTAACGCCTCTGGTATTCCAGGTGCCCATGACGCCGAATCCTTACCACCGGGTGATCCGTCAGCTCGTTTACCGGCTTATGCCATAAAAAAAGGGTCACCCACTCGGTGTAAGCCAGGCATACAAGTCACAGGTAGGCATATAATTAGAAAATTATAAGCCCAGGTTTCCTCACGATGTTTTCCTTCACCTTTTGTCAGTGGTGTCTGAATAATCTTAGAAAGTACATATAACTCGGAAAAAGTCACATTGGTACTTGCCGTTGGTAGGTTTCGAATCCTCACCCTCACGTATGAGAAGTGGGCGTCTTAAACCTCCGGGCCACCGCGACACTTGAGTCGTTTACATTGTTAAATCACAATTAAAATTTGCTACATGTAGTAGTCACAAAGTTGCTTGTTATCCTTTAATTATTCGCAATTATTAATCATCAGGTACATAAGTACCTACTACGGTACTTTTTCACCATTCTGTTTGTTTATGACGAAGTGGACTTCGTTCATTGCAGATTGTAATTATGCCCACAAGATGTCGCTTGCGGCGAATAAGATCCACTGGAGCAAGATTGGTATCTTATTTTCTTGGCTCACTATACACTTAAAGTTTTGTTGTTTATAAAATGGTATGATAGGATGGTATGCTACTTCGGTTAGGTATCATTCGTCAAGTGCAAGGGACGCATTTTTATGTCTTCATTTGAAATTACCATAGAATAGAATTTAATCAAAACTTTAAATACTATAGTTTACTTCTATTATTTAGTTTAACTGACTGCCTCGTTGGCCGAGTGGTCGCAAGTGCGACAGCCGAGAGGGTTCGATTCCCGGGTCGGGCAAAGTATTACTGGGTTTTAAAAAAATCTCAGTGGTAGCACGGAATCTGCAATTGCGCCCCGTATATGGCAATAGACTGACTCTCTATACATAGGACTCATACCATAAATAGTGAAAAGTGGGTGTTACATTGTACGGTGCCTACCCTTTCGGGGATAAAAGGCGTGATGTTATGTTACGTTAATTCCGACTAATTTTAGAGCTGCAACACATTAAATTAAAATGCATGAGTCTGAGAATTCAAGCATTATTTTCTTAAAACTACTCAATCTTTTTAATTTTTAATTTTTTTTTTAATTAAGTACTACAATCTGTCGCCTTCTTTGGGACATTCGGCAGTATGTTGGATGTTACTTTAGTTAGCGTTTTCGGTATGTGACCTGTGTCACATACTCTTCATAAATACAGTTTTTACTGTATTTATGAAGTACAGTAAAAAACCACAATGTGAAAAAACCACAGTGTGTAGTTGATACTACACAATATGAAAAATTATAACCACTTTCAATAAAAAAAACAGTACCAACACCAACATAAACAAATTACCGAGACCTTTTAACCCTACAGTATTACGTTGTAGCACATGCACGAAGTTCATACCGACCACACGTAACACCTAGTTAGAAACTTCTAACTACACACGTCAGTAATAAATACTGACGTCAAAAAAAATGTCGCAAACACTTCCATAATACATGATGCACCAGTTTTCTGGTCAAGGCCGACACTCGGGAAAAACCCACCACTAACCACGTAGACAGATGTACAAGACAAAAGATTAAAAAATAAATGCTACTTTAAGTATAAACTACCAAGTGCTAGTGTTGAATGTCAAACGTTATTACAATCATTTTTTAAACCACAATAGGTTTTTTATTATTTTACGTTTTCCGTATAAAAAATAAAAGGTGATGTTCATTGTGGTTGCAATTTTAACTCATTTTTGCGTTTATAGGACAACATTTTAGACCATTCAATTAAAGATTGAATCTCAAAATGCACTCGCTCGACCCTGAGTGCACGGTAGGCGTATGTGACTGGAATGGAAACAATTCTTTGTCTGGTCCCAAATCGTTTTAATATTCTGAGTTTTAATAAGATGTGCCTCGTTTTCGAAAGACGAATAAAGGTCTACTAATCAACACTTTAACATAAGCTAGTACACTATAGATGAATTTGTATGAGAAACTAAAAATCTATAATTAAAACTATTCGCAATTCTTAAAACAAGAAAAGTTATCGTGTATGCTATCTTATTAGATATATAAAAGAAAGTCGTGTTAGTTACACTATTTATAACTCAAGAATGGCTAAATCGATTTGGATGAAAATTGGTGGGGAGGTAGCTTAGAACCAGGAGACGGACATAGGATACTTTTTACCCAATTCTTTTTTTTTACTTTTTACCGAAAATCAAGAACGGGAAAGGGATATATCGGGATTGCGCGTACGAAGTCGCGGGCAGAAGCTCGTATGTATATAAGACACAAAAGAAAACTCTCGCGTAGATCTATGCTCCGGGATATTTCGGTTAATCATGCAACTGTTTGGCGACGAACTCGACTAGTTTCAAACCATGCTAGATACAGTTACGTGAGTAAGCCGAAAACATAATAATAAATTTAGTATGTCTCACAAAGTTACGACTTACCTAAAATCGTACACAGCTCCGTAAATCCTCTTCATGCAACGTAGCAGACGAGAAAGATTGTCTTTTCTGCATATAGATCCTCCTTTTGGTATATGGTTCATGAACTGTCAACAAAGATTAATATCTAAAACCACTTTTAATACAACTATAAAGAAGTTACTATTGAAAAAAACCAGGGGGTAACAACTGTATGACATTTAAAAATAATTAATTAGGTACAATAATTTCAATGTTAACTGCAATATGATTTAATTTTTGATTTCGAAAAGTTGAGCTCAGTCAAGTTAAGATCAAGATAAGTAACATATTTTCATGTAGAAATAACTGCCACATAAATATAGATGACATTTAAAAAACCGCTTCGAGAATATTTTACTTAATTAAAATTACTTTCAAATTTACAGAAAGTTCTTTACCGCGCAGGTAATGTAAATGGAAGGAGTGACAATATCAGTCCTAAAATATTATTTTTGCTATGGCATAAGCAGGTAAACGAGCAGACGGATCACCTGATGGTAAGCAATCGGCATCGCCCATGGACACCTGGAACACCAGAGGCGTTACAAGGATTAGGAGTTTGAGGATCGTTGGGGATTCAGGGATTGGTGAGATTAGGGAAGGGGAGGGGGGTAATTGGGCCTACAGTAACCTCACTCACTCGTCGAAACACTACGCAAGCGTTGCTTCGCGTCGGTTTTCTGTGAGGTCGTGGTATCACTCCGGCCCATTCGTGCCGAAGCATGGCTCTCCCACACTATTCTAGAAACTATTTAAATCCATAAAAGGTTTTGACTGCCAATAGATAACTGTTGAAGGCAATTCCTCCACTAACGTCTGTCACCGATGACCCCCATGGCGGTTAATGTGTTAAGCACCTAATTAAAGGTATCTGTATCTATCTGCACACAGTGGGCGCGGCGCGGCGGGACGGTAACCGAGGACGGCTCTGCGTGGCGTCGTCCGTAATATCTAGTACATTACATACAACTGTTCAATGTCGCGTCGCCGTCCCGTCCTGCCGCGCCGCGCCCGCTGTGTCCAGAAACCTTAATTTTTCATGAAATAAAGTTTCAATAAACTCACTCACACCCGGCTTTATTTATTTGACTACATCTTAAAGCCCAATGACTTCCTAGGCCTTTAGCCAATCGCCACTTTAGCGCTTGTCTACAGAGAGAGAATAGAAATCAAAATGTATGGGGATGACACTGACAAGTGTCAAAATTTACGTCAATCCTTACTAATATTATAAATCGGAAAGTGAGTTTGTTTGTTTGTTCCGATTTCACGCCGTAACTACTAAACCGAATGCTTTGAATTTTTGCAGACGTAAAGTTAGAAGTCTGGATTAAATAATAGGGTACTTTTTATCCCAGAAAAGTTTGATATTCCCGAGGGAAAACAAAAGTATTGGTATAGATGGCGCTGTATGTATTAGTATATGTTACATAGGCTACTTTTTATCCTTTTGTGACGCGAGCGAAGCCGCGGGTAAAAGCTAGTTCCATATAATTTGGTTTTCTATTTTACATGTAGACAAGCGCTAAATGGCATTTGGCTACAGCTGCAGAATAGACCGGTGCATACTGCATAGAATGATGATGATGAACAAGCTTAAAATATTTTCGCTTAATCATTCATCACAGATGAAGATGAGGACTTAAAAAAGGAATGGACCAAACCTGCCAGTCTCCTAAAGTCTTGTAGCTAGCTGCCGGGAAGGCGCTGGTCTTCCACCAAAGGTTCCAACGTTCTTCTAAGCCACTGTGGTAACCAGGGTACATACGCCAGCCACGCTCAGCACATACCTGATGATGGAAACCGTACAATCAAGAATAATGTAAAAGAATTATAATGGAGTTTTTTCTAAGAGTAGATGACCATTTTTTTTTAATGTCCGTCTGATAGATTATTTTTAAATATTAGACACGTATTCTTTATTTTCTTACAGAAACAAATATTTTCGATGATATATTGATTAGAACTATCGTGTGACGTCACTTCTGAGTACGTTTTATACATAAAAATGATGTTAGCTTCCCACTTCCACTCCTAAACTTTAATTCGTTTTATCTAAGTATGATTTTCTAATACGACAAAATAAAAAATATTTATCTAATATTTATTAATATCTTGCTGAGGGACTTAATAGATTTTTAATTTTCATATTACGTCATTACCCCCATTATGTTATAATTGGATGTTTTTCCATACTTACACCGGCCATAGAAAGTTTCCATAACTATCTGTTTTATATTCTAGGACGTTAATGTAAGTTCATCCTCGGACGTTTATCTTTTATACAAGAAATAATTATGTTGAAGTACCTACCCGAGTACACAACACAAATCTAATTTCAAAACTCGTATCATGTTTTTTTTTACACTACGATGGTGGTTCGATGCGATGATAGAAAGTGGCCGTGGGCATCATATCAAACAATTCCGCAGAACACACCCGTACAAGCGGTAGAACACGCACAAGGAGGCAAAATCTCTCTTTAAACTTAGGTCCTCGATACCGCTAGTAAGTACAGGATCGTCAACTAGTCTTACAGCTCTCCTTTGGACAACGTCAAAAGGTCTAAGCTGGTATGCTGGCGCTCCTGCCCAGAGATAAGAGCAGTACTCCGTATGGGGGCGAACTTGCGATTTATATAAAAGCAGTCTTTGTCCCGGCGTGAAGTACCGCTTCACTCTGTTTAGCACACCGAGTTTTTTAGATGCCAGCTTGGCCTTGTCTTCTAAGTGACTACGGAACTGGACGTCACTAGATATGTCGACACCAAGGATACCTATACTTTTTGAGATGTTAAGGGTTTTTTTTAAGGGGGGAAAATCATCGAATGACTTCTCCCGCCTGGGTGAGGCGGAAGGGAGTGTCAGACTCTTACTGACTAAAAACCACCCCGTTCCTTCTCCTGCACGTCGAGCCGGAGCCCCGGTTACCCGTTAGGTTCTCCGCGACGAGATGTTAAGGGTAGTGTCATTGAAACATGTATGATTGAAACAAATTTATTTCTTCTTCCTTTTCTTCTTACTACCTTTATCCTAAGTTAGCTACTTGGAATCTGCACAATATTATTAAAAGTTCTTCTATCTCATGTAGGTATGTTCATTTAATCAGTGATTACTAATTATATACCTATTAGTTATAACTGAAATGTCGAATCCATTAATACTTTCAATTATAATAACTAATATCTGTCCTATAGGAAATATGTCGTGTTATTCACCATAAATAACGTTTATGTAAATAATTAGTTATCGATTAACAGCTGTCTTGTATAATAAACATAATAACTTACATATTGATACAGGTATTTTATGATAATATTTTACTATAACACGATAAGATAAATTCATATAAATAAAGATATCTTGTCAGCCTGTCACAACTTCTACTATTGAACACAAGTTCCTGGTCAAGAACCAGATTGGCTTCTTTCGACACATTGACATTTTCGATTTTAAAATTCAAAGAAGTTATCTGGACAGTATATCTCGTTTACAAAATACTTATAATAATAATTCCTTAACCAGTGCTGCATGCCACTTGTACACTTCTGTCTACCTCTGACAGGTTTAAAAGGTTGCTTAAGTTATGTCTCATTATACATAGATAGTAAGTATTTAAGTATAAGTGCAAATATTACATCTAAACGAACTGAATTGTAAGTTACAGAGGTCCCTCGCCAATATCCAAAGAGATTCTTAAAACATACAGGGCATAGCTGCCCCATCACACTATTCACCATTTATTACCTTCACACATTCATATTTATACCTACCATAATAAAACAATACTTCATAGTTTATAAAGAACTTGATAATACACTGTCGAGTTCACGACTAAATGACTTATTGTGTCAATGAAATAATAAAGTGCAATTATATCTCATACACTATACTGCGCTATAATAAAGGTTCTGTCTAGGACGAAACCAGTTAATTGCAACTACACTAAACATCTTTACAACAGCCTGCTCATTAAACAGCTGACGTCAACATAAATAATAACTTACGGTAAATACAGACCATAAAATAAAGATCGATAATTAACTACTTGATTTTACAACTAATAAGTACCATCTAATCAACTCTATACACTACTATTAAACTACAACTAAGTACCAGTTCCTCAACAAGTTCTACAGTATACCTTCACCAGCAGGCCAGGCCCCGTGCCGCTGTCATTCAGCCTGAATATAAAAGGCTCATCATCATCGAAGCCGCCGTCCATCCTTCAGCACAGCCCTAGAAACATGCCTTTTTATTTCTCAAAGTTAGACACGATCCATCGGGAACATTTCCAACTTTATTCATATCAGACGCGATACATCTTCGCCTTCAATGGAATATACTCGTGTATGTGAACGCGTGAATCGCATGTCAGCTTATCATTGCAATCGTAATATAGAGAAGTCGTGATATTGTTCGAAACACGTTTAGTTGTTGGGCGAGCGTATCGTTCGACTCGGGCCGACTGGCGCGCTCCGCCGCCCACCCAGCACTGTCTCCGACTCACATTGCAAGCTGATGCCCCCAGCCCCAGTGATTTATAACTCCCCGTTCGTGACACGAGCCTCCTGTAAAAAGCAACGTAACAACGATAATGCATTTTGTTAGTCTAATGACGCGTCGCTTTTTATATTTAACCGAACAACTTCGGCAAAGTTGAATAACATTTTTGATGGATGCTACACGACGGTTATATATTTTTATGGTTGCGAACGATACAATATGGATAACGGTGATGTATTTTTATTACATTAAATAAAATTAATTTTGGATTCGTATTGAGAATAGATAATAACTGCAGGGGCATTGTTCTGTAAAAGTCATATTGATACAGATTTTCATTGAAGGTTACCGCTACGTCGATCGTCAACTTTGATACGAAGACAAATTGTTATTTGTCTATCGAAATGAATGAAAAATAACGTAATATATCGTAGCATAAACTTTAACGCGTGCCTATTTTAGCAATCGCAATAACCATAAAACGCCTGTTAAATTATAAGAGAACACGTGCTGTATAATTAAATCAATGAACTTTACAAATTCCCGCTGCTTCCTGTAACCCAGTTTACCAGCAAACAGTTTGCGTGATACAGGTTATTACAATATAAAATGCCCTCTTTTAAAACCCTACAGGCCGTTGTCAGTTGTCATTCAATACTACCATTGTATAAAAAGGGCAAAAATATTTCATTAGCCAAGTTACGAAGGCAAAAGTTGCGTGTTTCAGTACTTCCAGTTATATCAGGTGTCTATTACAAGTAAAAGAAAAAAACAGACTAGTTAATTAACTTATTAAAGTACTCCTACATGTGTTTAATGACAACATAATGTGTTATTGTAACTACAAAGTTCTGTATGCAAAAAATAGTGTCAATAGAATGACCTGACGTGCCATTAGAGCAGATCATCTCATTATAAGGAAGATTTTTTATGAAAAATAATTTATCTACTTAACTTATTAACCTGTCATCATGACTGAATATCAATATAAAAAAAAACATGAAAGATGACACCAAATAGAGGCAAAAAATACAAACATTACACATCATTTACTCGGGACTACTTAACGATTGTAAATTTACAAGAATGTAAATAAGGCTTGGTATAAAATATTCTAGCTAAAACAATAAGTCTAGTTTTCTACGAGTAATGGCTCAGGCAAGTTAACATATCAATATCGTAGGAGCAATAAATTTGAGGCTTCGAGCATCAGTGTAAGCACGTGACTCTGACATCTTGGCTTTTGTTTCGTCTCCCATAAATTTTATATGAAAAATTTGCTGTTACCCGCGATTTCGTCCGCGTAGAATATGAATATTAGCACACAACATTTATTGTTTCAATTTTCCCAAATAAAAGTAGCCTATGTTACCCCTTAGTAAAAATGTTATTAATGTTATTTGGTATATTCATATGCATGAAAAAAAACACCATTATTTTAATATTACAAAATACAAACAGGCACTGCAATTTTATTTATCTGTCCAGACTAGGCTGTATGCAGCAGGTCTACCCGCGTTTTTCTTCTTTAACGCTGCTCCAGCAAGATATTCTAGAACCTTATTTCAGATCATCACATCATCATCTGATACATGAACATAAGCCTATTCTATAATATGTCACTATACTCACTATTCCAAATTAAGGTCATTCGTCCAACTGACTACCGATGTCCAAAACTACATCTAGCGTCTATTGATTTAAAGTTGTCGAAAGGTACCTACCATAAATCGAAATATATTGTGATTTACTGGCATCGTCCTATAAAAATCTTTAATTGAATCAGTATCTAACATACGGAAGCGATTAAGCAAAGACTGTAGCAAGTCATGGTGACACACTGGCTTCCTGTAACACTGTCGTTATGTACAGTACAATGCTGATAATTCACAGCGCAACAAGACCATGTCATGCTGATACCTTTTGGAACCTTGCCCAACATAAAAACGAAAGAGAAAATAGTAGTATGTCCTGCCTTTATCACGTCTTCCTTACATCTAATTTTCAAACCACCCTTTTCTCCTTGAGAAGTAGATAGCAGTAGGAGGTGTTTAAGAATTTACTAACATAACATAACATCACGCCTTTTATCCCCGAAGTCGTAGGCAGAGATGCACATTATGCCACTGTACAATGTAACACTCACTTTTCACTATTTATGAGTCCCATGTAATAGGGGGTGAGTCTATATACCGGGCACAATTCCAGACTTCGTGGTTTTTTTAAAAACCTAAGTAGTACTTTGCTGGACCCGGGAATCGAACCCACTCGGCCAACGAGGCTATTTATTAGTAAATAAGTATAAACGTTATAGTCTACAGGGAATAGCAAACATGATTTTGAATCGATCATCTTTCTTTACAATTTGACTTTTAGATGGATAATTCTGTTTTGATAAATTATTCGAAGAGGAGTAAATTAGAAACTGATTTTATATGTTTTTATAATAACTATCATGAGACATACTAAATGAACTAAAAATCGAGGGTTACTCACGTGAATATACTGAGAAAAGCTCTACTAGTTTCGAACCACAGAGGGGTTCTTCCTCATGAGCAGCGTGCGCGGTCATGGCGATATCGCGCAGCCTACAGTCACATGTCAGTAGGCTGCGGAAGAACCTAGTTAATTTGATTTTAACCGACTTCAAAAAAGGAGGAGGATATACGTTCGGCCGGTATGTTGTGTATGGTATTATTTATTCTATGATAGCATTATTTACATAATCATAGTAGATAGACTTTATCTTACAGTACTAAAATTTTGCCTTGGTACTTTTGATAGTGTCACAACCCAAGTAGGTACTCATAACTTACCTACTCACGCACATACATACTGTCATGTTATGGCAACCGGAATCGAAGCCAGACGGTTTGACGTGTTCTAAGGTAGCGAAGTTCGAAATGTTTTCTATATTGACCTACCTCAAACAAGCTTGGTTCTGACTTCTGACCTCCGATAACATTGTGGTTGAGAATCAGTATCCACGTCATTATCTACAGCCGGTGCCTCTACGCTTCACATAAGAAGGCTTGCCATAAACTCCACATTTGGTTAACAGGTTCAGGTTATATAAAGAGAAAGCGCCGCTGTCCTGTCTCTGAGAAATGTGTAGTCCCATAGCAGTCGGCTTTAACAACACCCACAGCCCACAGTGTAGGTACACACTAGTATGCAATCGTTTATGTATACGATATCTACTATATAAAAATAAGTCGTGTTTTCCTTCCTGACGCTATAATTCCAGAATGCACGAACCAATGTCCACGGTTTTGCATGCGTTGGAAATGTCTCGGGCTCCATGAGGTTTATAGCAAAGAAAAATCACTTTTAATCACCAAACGAAATGTTACATAAAATGAAACCATCTGGTGGCGAAACAGAGCTCGCCGGGTTTGCTAGATACGTATACAATTGTATGTGTGACGTGTCTATTTACATTATTCCTTAAACCCAAGCAACTGTATCCAGTCGATGAAATTATAAATAAGAGATAATACGTTCCCTAATTATCCACGTGTCAGTTGCGATAATTTATATAAACTAATTATAAGTCTCTATGACCTTATGTGTGGAACAATATATATTTTATAGCAGTGCTCAAACTTTCATTGACTCATTAATAAAGACAACATACCTACAACCATAAATCGACACACAGCATGGGTGGAGATGGTGACAGATGTATGATGTATTCCACTACCCTTTTTTTTTAATGGGGGAAAATCATCGAATGACTTTTCCTGCCTGGGTAAGAGCGGGAGGGAGTGTCAGACTCTTACTGCCTAAAAACCACCACGTTCCTACTCCTGCACTTCGAGACGGAGCCCCGGTAACCCGTTAGGTCTCCGCGGCATTCCACTACCCTAGCTATTACGTATAAAGTCGATTCGTTTCGGTTCTGTGTGTATGTGCAATCGCAATAAAAGAAAAAAATTATAATCCATCGGTTATATAAATGTATTTTATTACTAGCACTTACACTAAACATGTAAGTATTTTAACTTGAATGTAAGTGCGAGTCACATTTTATTCAGAAAACCAAGATACATATACGATCTAGGTATATAATCTAATCAATGAAATAAATTGCAATTAAAAGGTTATTAAAAGGTCTTTGACTCAACATTATAATAAAATGTAGTATTTGAAATGAATCGATGAGAATAAATAAACTGATTGTAGTCATAACATTTGTAAAAGATAGTGATCGAGACAAATAAATACTATAAAACTGAGTTATTGGTCTGGTATAAATATTTAGATATACTAATTTGTTTTTAGTCTGGATTTCTAAATGAACGGAAATGGAAAATAATTTCATTTGAAATGACTAACGAATATTTTTAACATTTGGGTCTTTAATTGTTTTTAATTCTCGTAGTACTCGTAACATGGAGTATATAATTATGCCTTAATATGCATAAGACCTTGTCTGCCATCTGTATATCATAACACAACCGGTAAAAAGGAGTGTTACCTTACAATGTGGCCCCTCTACCTAATCTATAGAAACCCTAATACAAGGCGTATTACATTTTATAGGTGAGATGGTAAAATACAGTATTCATTCTACTCACCTAACCTTAACATAACCCTAAAGGATCAAAACATTAGAAGCCGCTCAAGTCAAGATCAAGAAGCTCATAAACTTAGAAATTATAAGAATAAACATGAAACTCAGGCATAAGATTTATAGTTGATTTTTCATAAAAGTCA